AAAAAAAAAAAAAAGAACCACAGGTCCCTCAAGAGAGAAGACAGAGCTAGTGACCACTCAAGGGGCTTGAGTCTGACCCCTCCTCTCCAACCCCATTGTTGTCTTGTTCTGTTCTACACTGCTTCTAACAAAAGCAGCAGAAAGAAAATTGGGGCCGGTTCTAATGGTATTTTATTTTATTTTTTTTATGTTTATTTATTTTGAGACAGAGAGAGAGAGAGAGAGGGCAAGCACACAAATGGGGGAGGAATAGAGAGAGATGATGGAGAGAGAGAATCCCAAGGAGGCTCCAAACTGTCAGTGCAGAGCCCAACACAGGGCTCGATCCCACGAACCTTGAGATCATGACCTGAACCGAAATTGAGAGTTGGATGCTGAACCAACTGAGCCACCCAGATGCCCCTGGTTCTAATGGTATTTTAAAATAAAGTAAGGTAAAACACCCGGGTTTAGAAAATACAAGACTTAACTGTCCTCTTCATCATTGTAAACACCTATGCTGTGCTGGGGTGGGAGCATCCAGAAACCAGTGGTACCTGGTCCCGCTGCTAAATTAGGAGCTCACCAGGCTGAATGAATCATCTAGGTCAAGGTCAGAATGATTAACATATGCATATGGACCAGTAAGGAGCACGGCTTAATGAATGAAATACTTTATAGTAAATAAACACTGTGTGTTTAAAGAGGCAACCAGCAAAACTACTTTGCTTGGATATGGTACAATGGAGAGGAAAAATGATTTGTCCAAGATTTCCTGGTGATGTAAAATTCTAATCCAGCAAGTACTGGAATACGTCTGAATTTTACCAGAACACTGCTTTTTTATACCTTGCATGTAACAAAGGGGATTCATTTCTCCTGTATTCCCTATCAGGACTTACGGCCATCATTAGCCTGCAGGGGCCTAAGCTGGAAACCTTGTTGATCCTTTGACACCCTCCTTCCCCACCTCCTTCCAGCCCCATGCCACACTCCAAGTAATATAAGCATCCACTAAGAGCCATCAGCTCTACCCAAGCAATGCCTCCAGAATGCGCCCTCCACCGCACCTCTAGTTTCTGTCCTCTCTCCAACCTCGCATGGCTGTGACACCATCCTGCAAGTCTCCAACCTCCAACTACCATGAGTTAACTTTCTAAAAGCCATACTGGATCCATTTGATTAACTCTTTCTGGCCTAAAAACACCCATTGGCTCCCTACTGCTTTTTAGGAATAAGGTCCAAGCCCCTTGGAACAGCACAACAAACCTTTCAAAATACGGCTTCAAGCTACCTGACTGCCCTCGCATCTGACCACATCTTCTATGCTGGCCTTACCACTGCTCAGGCCCAAGTTATTCTTCTATACCTCTGCAAGTGCTGTTCCTCCTGCCAAGAACACCCTTCCACTCATGCCAGTTTGCCAAACTCTTACGTGATCCTCCTAGTCCTGGCTCAACAGCATCTTCTCAGCAAAGTCTTTTTTTGCAATCCCCTCTCGACTTGCAGAGAATCCCCAGAGCCTTTTGTTCAGAAACCTGTTGGAGCCCTTACCGTGTTGTGCCACTCTGTGCACACATAAGGCACTCAGATATCTGCTGATCGAGGGAAAATATTTGTTTAAAGGTAGTGTTAGTCTGTGTCAAAAGAACATGCATTTCTGGAAATGATCGGACTTATAAATCAGAAACATAACTGGCAATATGTTGAAACAAGCTACTCTTCCTCCCTGGTGCCTTTCTTTGGTCTACTCGCACAGAGAATAGAATACTTTTTTTTTTTTTTTTACCTCTTCAGGCAACACGTCTTGTTCTTGTGCTTGAAGATAGATCTCTTGAAGTTTCTCCTTTAGTAATTCCATTTCTATTTCATTTACTTGGCTCTCACTCAGGTAAACTGCTGTTTCATATTCACATCCATCTAGCTGATCTTCTGCAGGGATGTGAACAGCCCAGTCAGATGTCAACAGCTGTTTGAATCATCGAACAAATATATGAATAATGGAATGGAAAAGATGTTTCACTGGATTGCTCAAAGAATTTATAACTAAACCTCTTTGACTGTATCCATTTTAGTAATATCTTGTGACCACAGAAAAGCTTCTTAAGCCCAGCACAATTCTGCATTTCGTATCAACATTTTTCCCCCTGTTTACATTCTAAAATTTCATTTAAATCCAACAAACTTCAAATTCTAAATGAGTGACTGGAGTTGCTTTTTTCCCTTAGTTTTTTT